ACTAACTTTCCAGATCAGACTTGAAGGAATAGGAATATCCGTAATTAATAAACGCATGCAGGTATGTCGCGTCTATATTTATGACGAGATCGATTTCGTTTTATGAAGCTTGCATTTCTGTAATCTGTAACCTTGCATCACAGGAATTACTATATGCTTCAATGCGTGCATTGGAATTTAAGTATAACGACTCCACGCTTTATAACTCTATCCATTTTGTGGTTAAGTGGTTGCAGGTATTTTTCAATTTCTGTAAACCCGAACAATATAACATCACACTCTGATAATAAAACACATAGATCGACAATCAATTGTATGGTGGGCTCTGTCCTATCATATTATTTCCGACGTTCATTCGTAAAGACGCCAAGGACACCGAATATCACCCTGCTTTTCAAACGACTCTTGTTAAGGCGAAGGATGAATGCACGTATTTATACCATGTGTTTGTCCTTTTTCATTCTTAATGACCTCGATTTTCAATTTAACTAGCTCATGGAGTTGTCTACTTCAAGTATTTCTCGTTGTTACTCCAAGAAATGACGTTTGAGATTGATGAGGACTTTCTATTTGCGTTGCTCGAATTTGCAAAAATTCAAGGTCCCAGCACACAGGAAGAGAATGAAATGTAAGATTAAAATCTTTCGTTTATTGTATCAGGTGTTTGAAGTGCTATTAAATTGTATTTCAATTTTGCAGGCCACTCATAGATGGCACTCCTGACATTCCTGAGCCAAAGTCCTCAGAAGGAGACAGTCAACTTTATTTCGAAGTCCTACATATCGAGGGGGTCGAACCTGATCAATACTTTCTTCAAACATATTCGTCGTGTTACGTATTCCTATTAACAGACTCTTAAGGTTTACTAGTTCATTTTAAAAATGTTTATCCCGTAAAATTTCAATTCTCTCACCTCCGGCCACGTCACTTGCCAAATCGAATACACCAACGACAGGTTTTGTCACGAGTCTGAAAAATAAAATATGATATTGTAAAGTCAATCGTAATGATGCAAAAATTTGGAAAAAAGATTACCCGACAAGGCCTTTTCCAAATCCCTTGAATAAGCCAGCCGCGCCTTCCTTTTCAACACCCTCAATTGGTTTTCGCTTTGTGAATAAAGTAATTAATTAAACCTTGTTAATGAATAATAGGTAAAGAAAAAAAAAAAAAAAACTCGACCAGATCGGTAATCTTACAACAAGTCCTTCAATACCACTCCCGATGCTGGTTACTAAAGAGTTCGCCCCCTGGGTTACTCCATATAGTGCATGCTTTGGTTTGTTCCTATATTGTGCCAT